TCTCTCTCTCTCTCTCTCTCTCTTCTCTCTCTCTCTCTCTCTCTCTCTCTCTCTCTCTCTCTCTCTCTCTCTCTTTCTCTCTCTCTTCTCTCTCTCTCCTCTCTTCCTCTTCTCTCCTCCCTCTCCCCCTCCCTCCCTCCCTCCCTCCTCTCCCTCCTCCCTCCCTCTCCCCCTCTCCCTCCCCTCCCCTCCCCCTTCCCCCTTAACCGAATTGTCTCGCCATTGCAGTCGATTTCATTTCAAAAAAAAAAAAAAAAAAAAAAAAAAAACGGCGCGATTAATAGCCGATAATCGATCTCCATTTTCTTCTCCTGCGGTAAGTATTTTTTGGAAGAGGGGGGAAGAAAGGGAGGAGGAAGGGGAAGAGGGAGGGAGGAAAGGGGGAGAGGGAGGGAGGAATGGGAGAGGGAGGGGAGGAAAGGGGTAAGAGGAGGATTAGGAAGGAGGGAGTAAGGGGATGTGTGTGTGTATGGGGGGGGGGGTGAAGTAAGGCAGAGAGAGATAGTGGGGAGAAAGAAGGGATTTAGGAAGGGGGAAGGGGGGGATTGGAATGGGGGAGGAGGGGGGGTTGATGGAGAGAGAGGGTAATTGGGGGGGGGGGTATTGAAGGGGGAGGAGGAAGGGAGGAGAGGAGAATAAGAGGGGAGGGGGGTCTACTCTACCTGTTACCATTAGAGGGAAAGAATGGGTGGAGAGGAGCAGGGAGAGGAGAAAAGAAGAAGGAGGAGAAGGAGAAGAAGAAAGAGATCATGGTGATCAAGGACTGTAGGAGAGGTATGGAGAGGAAGAAAGGAAGGTGGGAAGAGGAAGGAGAAAGAAGTGGTGGTGTGAAGAGGGAAGAGAAAGGGAGGAGGAAGTACTGAAGAGGGGAGGAAAGAAGGAGAGGAGGAGAGAGAGAGAGGGGAGAGGAGTGAATGAGGATAGAGTGGCGCGGAGAGAAAAGAGGGAAAGAGTAGGTTAGAGGAGGGGAGGTGGGGATGTGAGAGGGAGAGGAGGAGGGAGAAGAAAGAGGGGAGATGGAAGACGAGAAAAGGGAAAATAAGGGAGACAGGAGAGAAAGAATGATAAAGTCGGGGTAGGAGGAGAGAGAAAAGGGAAGATAAGGAGACAGGAGAGAAAGAAGGATAAAGTCGGAGGAGGAGGAAAGAGACAACTAAAAGATATCCCGCCAAGCAAAAGAAAAATAGGAGAAAGATAAACAAGACAGTAGAATTTTATATATTTCATCAAAATGAAAGGGAAGATGTTAATGGAAAATATTTAATGAGAGCGATATTAAATGATGAGAATTATGAATTTAATCAGATTACGTAGAATATTTGAAAAGATTATGTATTTCAAGGAAATTGTCAATTATTGAAAAGTTTATATATATTTTTCATGAGTCATACAAATGGTTTAAAATCACGTAATTGTTAAGAATTATATCAACGTTTACTTGTACAAATTAAAATTAAAATGAAAATAAAAATATATTCGATGAAAAATCTATGGTAATTCAAAGAAATCATTTGAAAAAAACAAAGAAATCATTTTTAAAAATCCGAATAAAAGTGAAAAAAGAAAAGAAAAGAAAAGAAAAAAATAGTTTTAAGAAATCTGAGTAAAATCAGATTTTTAAATATTTTTTTTACTGAATAAAATCTGAAAAAAGGGGAAAAAACGAAAAATCGGCCGCCTGGCTTAATCACCGTATTTGAAATATTCTTCCGGAGCGTTTTGTTGTGTTAATGAGCTATGTAATGAATTAATTAATTTTGAGGGGGTCCATTTTAACTCTCTTGGGGAGGGGGAGGGGGGGGTGCAAGATGGGGACTTTAGGGGGGGGCGTTTTTTTTCTGCAGATTTTGGGATGGTGAAGGATGGGGGAAGGGAGGAGTGGGGTGGAGGAATGGGAGGATGAGGAGAGGAATAAGAAGAAACGAATGGAAGAAGAAGGAAGGGAAGGAGAAGGTGGAGAGTGAAGGAACAAAAGGAGCGCTGATAAAATGGACGAAGAAAAGATAGGAAAGTATGAGAAGCAAAGAAGAAAGAAGGAAAGATTGAAAAAATAGGGAAGAGGAGGATGGACGAGGGGTCGAGGAGTGGAGTATGAGCGAATACGTAACTCGAATATAGGAACTCAACCAAGATAAGAAGTCAGGAAAGAAGAAAAAAAGACTCACTAGGAATAAGACGAAGTGAGATGAGAGAGAGAGAGAAAGAGTCACAAGAGCATATACAGAGGACCTTATGGACCAGCGATGAAACTCAGAGATATGAGATCTCTGAGAAAGAAAGAAGATAGTCCGATAGAGAGAGAGAAAGACCAAAGAAAAGATAGAGAGAGAGAGAGAGGAGAGAAAGAAAGAGTAAGCAGAGGCCCGTAGTAAAAGTGAAGAGAGAGAGAAAGAGACCAAGAAAAGAGCGAGACTAGAGCCATGAGGAAAGTATATTAGAAGGGAGAAAGAGAAAGAAAGAGGAGCTCGGAGAAAAGATAATTGGGTATGACGAAATCAAGCCACTTCGCACCAGGTGTAGCAGAGACGAAATGCACAGAGAGAGAGAGAAAATAAAGAGAGATGCAGAGAAATAAAGAGAGAGAA